CTATGTCATGCCAAAAATTCAAATTATAATTTTTTTTCGCTCAATGCAAGCGTTTTCATTGCAGGCTCGTAACACACTACACCTATGTACATAAGTTGAGGAGTCAAAGTTAAGTCACTTTGCCGTTTGTGTTGAAGCCTCACCCGACCAGTAACGTGTTTTATTGTGTTTGCAGTATTCCAGGCAATCTTAGTCTCTCAGCAGCATTACCTTTACAAGATCTGGGTTTTTCTTGGAACTGGACCTATTCAAAATTTCGAAAGACCTTAAACCTTCAAAGTGATGACTTTTACGGCTCTTAGAGATAGCGCTTTCAAATAATCGGAAGATGGGAATGCTCGTAGCACGAGTAATGTCGTCCCTTGAAGAAATCGATAGTGACTTGTTTCCACACATAATGAATAAGTGATTTTTTTATCGTCCTAGGGTTAGCCTGGGAGTAACGAAGCTGCGTCAGTCAATCTAAACTCTTGTAATTACTGTTTTTCAGCTTCACTTGAACTTCTCCTTCCATTTATTATACGAGTAAATGAAATGACCTAACGATAATGAAAGAGCCAACAATCCCTTCAATCCCTTTAAGCCTGAATCATTCCCAACTTTGTCCTTCTTTGAAAGCTTGCACGAGTCATCTTCAAATTAAATTGAATAAAATGTTTTCGTCTGATATTAAAACAATGTCGACTTTTTTTTTAATGAAATTTCTTATCTTTTCATTTACGAATTTTCTTTTAAAAAGTTTCATTTTTATTTTTTTTCTTTAAATCTTTAAAACCCTAAATAAACGTCGATTAATGTCTCATCAACTGTTCCTTTTAACGATTACTTAAAATGTCATAAAAATCCATCTGAAAAGATGTCTCTCGCAAAAAGGCAAAGCAAGGCAAGGCAATCCATACGGATCCATACGTACTCATGTATAAAAGATTTAATGGCGAAAACTTGATTTTTTTTTCTTTTGCTTTTGTTTTTGCTTTTTTATAATATAAAAAAATATGAGAAATATATATAAAATAGAAATAGGTGTGCATGTATGTGTGTACTCATATATTTGATCATACTTACGAGTGTGTGTCCTTTCGCATATAAATTTTGCCGTTGAATGGTTAAATGGCTGGATAAATGTGTCGATTTATATGTTTAACCCTCCGAAGTCTGTTAACGTAGCAAAGAAAATAAAACGAAACAAGAAAAAAGAAAAAAACAGAGAAAAAATTTACGATAGTTAAATAAACTCCTTTTAGAGTATATTTATATACGCATTACGTCTGAGGGATTGCGCTTTTATTATTATTTCTTTCAGCTTTCCTTCCAACTTGACGCGTTTTATTGACAGTTTATTTGGGTGTAAAATATTCTTAAAAATTTATCTTCGTTTGATTTTTAAACAAAAGCAATACAAGGAAGTTTTGCTGAAAGCCTTCCGCTTCTTCTTTAAAACTATGAACGATTTTAATGCAATAATTTTCATTCCATTGGACACCAGGTTAAGTTCGAATAGCAACCTGTATCGACTAAACCTTATTGATTTCCCGGGGCCCGTTGTAATGTTTTGCATTGAATTCGGTAAGTTGAGAAAGAGAGAGAGAGAGAGAGAGAGAGAGAGAGAGAGAGAGAGAGAGAGAGAGAGAGAGAGAGAAAGAGAGAGAGAGAGAGAGAGAGAGATACAGAAAGACAGTTAATAAAATGGTTTTAGATGTAAAGCACATAAGCACATTCGATAGACTTTCGCAAAGAACATGTAAGTATATGTACGTGAAATAGAAAGTCTTAGCAAGTTTTGTTTTAAAGCAGAAGAGAGTGCGAACAAAGCAGATGAAGAGACAAATCCATCGGTTAGTTACCACTCATGTTCGCAGTCGTTATCGCCTGGAAACCCCTTTTGGTCGTTCACTTGTCTTATATATAGTTATTGAAATTAAAAACTATCAGGTGTATAACCTTACTTCCGCCATTTATTTTTTTCATATTCGAGGCCTTATTGTAAAAAACTGACTATTCGTTTACTATTCAAAAATATTGTCCAACGGTAGACCCTGCATGTGCTACCTTTTAAAGATGCTTTGAATTCTATGCGTGAAGAGTAACTGATCTCTCAAGGCGATGTAAAAGAAAACTTTTTAGGTTTTGGCACTGAACGTCAGCAACCAAATTTTATTTTTCTTCTTTTCTAGACATATATTACAAAAATATAGAATTTTTCTTGAAATAAGAATATTCAACACGTCCCGGCATATTTTCTATGTAGGCAGCTGCTATGAAAATGCACGATTCTGACAATTTTCGCAGGCCTGCGACCATAATAATAATAAAGAAATAGCAATGTTCGTCTTGGAGATCGGAAATTTATGGAGAAAATTTGCATCGAACTACAGAAAGTGTGGATAATCCAATGTTAGGATGCCTTCTGCTGCGAAATGCCGGTAACACAAAAGCATTATAAACCCAAATATAGGAATAATAGGCATCAGATAGAATAGTCTCAAGCAGTATTTACTGCTCGCAGAATGTCTTGGTAAAAACAACGGCGCAACTGTGCAAGTGTGAGTCCCGACAATAGCTGTGGCTCAAAATCCGTTCTCTTAAAGCACTGCAGAAGTAGTCGAACATCCTAAGTAAGGCGTCGGCGAGTTAAGCTTACAATGCAGGTAACGACGTTAAACGTAGGAAGCAGTTGACCCTATATACATGACTTTAACTAGATTGATTGATTCAATTATGAAAAATCTGAACACACGTTGACCCATATTATACATAAAAAACAATAGCACATATATTTAATAACGAGGCACAGATCGAACAACCGCAGGTCCATCTTGAAAATTAGTGAAGGAAATTAATCAAAGCTCGAAGCTTAAACGGCTTGTTTACTATAATTAAACTCAAGTTTTAACTTTGTTACATATTGTATAAAAGAAAAAAATTGTTAATCTTTTCGAGCTCTCTTTAATTAACATTTAGATTTTAGCTGTGATCTAAGCAAACCACAGAGAAAAAAGTGTTGGTTTTCAAAAGCGCCTGCAAACATGCTTTCTTTTTTATTTCGTTTAAAAGCTCTTTATACAACTTATTCTTGATCAAGATAATCTCCAAATCAAGTCGCGAAAGTCTGTCTGTCCGTCTCCGTACTCAACATTTCTTTTTAAGAATACATTTTTTTGTTTATTGTAACAGGTTTTTATTTACGCTACGTGGCTTGTACCCGCCTGGAAATATCTAAAATCGTTAGCAACAGTTTAGAAAAACATAAATTTTCGTTTATGTCACTAACAAACCGAGCTAATGCCTACTAAACATATAGTACTTGTCAAAGCCATTCAAAACTTCAACGCAGAAATAACTATCTATGGCTTACTTCCGCGAGCGCTAACAAAAACTAGCACAATGACAAATATGGTTTACTTAATTGCTTAGCTTCATTTCTGACATAAATATAACCTCATAGCTAAAATTACCATAAAATTAAAACATAAATTTAATTTTATGATAATTTTTTAGTCTTGAACTTACATTTTAAAATCAGTTTGTATAGCTATCAAATATTTGTCTTTTCTCTTTACTGTTACTGTTTTAATAGGTTGGTGGTGAAGTTTTAGCGTAAAATATTAGCTACAAGTTACTTTACCTGTAGAGGTCACGACAAGCAGGCGGAATGAGACGTGTGCAGTCTTACTGTTTAGCATAACTAGTGTGGCATAGAAGAGGACTATCCTTTCATCGCTTAGTTTCAAATTGCAGAGCGACCAGGGTGCTTGTACAAATTTCTGAGATACGTTGGGAAGTAAGGTTGTCTTGAAGAGAACATCGTTCTGGGCGATAGAAACATTTTACAATTCGGGATGCAGGACCCAAATCTAACCAATTCGCTTTTGCAAACTCGGCATTTACCGTTCAACTGTTGAGGAAAACGTTAAACTGCTTTATATTCAAATGTTTTATTTTAAATGCCGCAGAATTTTCCCGCCACCCTAATAGTTGAGCTAGTACCCAAGAGCCCTTATCTTCTTATGAATTAATGTTATAAAATGCTTTTCTAAGAGAGAATACAAAGAATAGCAATAATCGAAAACTTTGAAAAAACAAATCATTATATTTCTCCACATCATCACCTTTCAACTCGATATGCCATTCTTCCCATTCAGCTTCGATACTCTGTTTATAGCGAGAACAATCGAGTTCCTTCCCATAACCATCAACCGTTCCCTCCATTTCTTCAATGTTGGCAAATTTTCTATCATGGAATTATTTTTTTATTATCTTTTTCGTGGACAGCAAATTTGGCGAATGAGATTTGTGAGGAAGTAATGCGATCTCGACCATAAGAGATAACGTAGTTATGAGTTGTTGCATTGTCATGGTGAATCACTGCCCCCTTCTGGGCAAATGCAGCCCTCTTACTCGATTTCATCACTGAGAAGCTACAATTAATTATCACGGCATTGATCGTTGATTGTTTCCCTTTCAAAAAATTGACGACCTGACCTTATCAGTAAATGAAAATGAGTCCCCCATTTTTTTAACCGATTTGCCTTCGTTCAGTTTACTTTTCTGACGTTTCAGATGCAAACTCATTGTCACGAATCCATGCAAACATTTGACTTATGGTCTTCCTTCACTCGAGTGAAGAAACGCTTTTGCTGCATTGCAAGCAAACTCTCGGCTTCTTTTGCTTGCAGCTTGCTCAGGGCTAAATGTTCAATGTGAATGTTTAAATTTTAATGTCTTCATAATACTTGCCTGCGTTTCGATCAATGAGCGAATGAATGAGATATAAAATTTAAAAAACTATTGGACTTTTTTTATTTTTGAATTCGTTTTATATACAAACGTACAAATATCGATATATAAATAAATAGGATAATAAGATCACTACTATGAGTATTATGCGTTTACAATTTCAACATCGGGAAATGAATGATCGTAACATATATCTACATATACGAAATACATAAGTTAACAGATAAATTACGAAGATATGCTTAAACTAGACATTAATAGGTAGTAGACATGTAAACACAAGAAAACATAACATCGTTCCAGAATGAGCTTTCAACACCCATCCACCATTTGAAATTCTAAACAAAATTTAAAATTTATTCTTAACAGTGTAGTAAACACTATTTAGTTCTTATCTCAGCTATGAGTCCATTTTGATGAAAAATTCCATAACGAAACTAAACGCAGCCTTTTTGTTTTTTTTTTATGTGACCAAATATTCAGAGGATGTTCCATACACGTGCAACCCGATAATGCTTAGAAAGAAATGAGGAAAGGGAGAAAGAGACATGGAGAGGCCTAAACGTAGCAAAGAATACGATCAGTGTCTGAGCACGCCCACAGAAAATATTTTAATTTGCTATCTACTATAAAAGAGATATTGAATGAAAACCTTCATTAAGATGTTTCCCTTGGGTCAGTTAAAAGGTTAATAAGAAACAAAACCCCGATATCTCAACAAACACGCCCACTGTAAAAGAAATATAACGACTTGTATAAGAGTAGTTGAACTAAAACAGAGTACGGATGTTCTCTTGGGTTAACTTAAGGGTCATGGATCCTACCCCACCCCAAAGTTATTTATATAACGAATTTTCAATGGCCCGATGCCAACCATTTTCAATGTCGCTCGTCCTTTAATCAAAACTAGTGAGCGTACCAAATCTCACGAAAATATACCAACAACAGCGACGTAGGTTGAACACAAGAAAACACGGACAGACGGACAGACAAGCTTCTGGGTGGTGCATACATCAGTGATGCTGTACGTAAATTTTCCGATACCTCAGCTGACACGCCCAGCTCAGCTGTGATAACCCCTTACATATTGTGCGCGAAACACTATTTCGAGCCGAATAATTAGCCGGCCCTGTAGGATTTTTGCGAGTTTTAAAAGGAGAGGAGAGAACTGATATGCTTTGATAAGATTATATGCTCAGCGCCAAGTAAGAAAGCAAATATATGAAGAAAGAATGGTGCTATTGGTGTGTGTATACGAAGACTATGGAAGAAACCGCTTTAGTTTTTGTGGGGAGTTATATAATAAAATATAATTATATTCATTTTTTTTTATTACTATTATTATTGTTATTGTTATTTAAGTTCGAATACTAGAATGAAATAAAAGAAAAGAAGTTTCGTTGTTATTCTGTCGCTTCGTATTTATTTCGTTTTGCAAAATCTTTGATTTTAGTTTTATTGTTCGTTGTCTTTGATTTAAGAGGACTTTGAGTTATTGTTATACAGTTTTTGTTTGCTTCTGTTCTAAAAACTTTTATTTAAAATAAATTTTTTTTTTCTTAATCTACTTTAACCTACAAGGTGCGTTTCATACGGACATAGTGTACACTAAACTATGCTTTTGTACACGTTTCAATATTCTTTCTATCTTTAAAAGTGATTTGCTTTTCTTTTTTGCTTTAGACCTAAAACTACGATATGAAAGTTACATTCATATGCACCGACATCCAAGTATATATACATTTAGGTATAGTTTTGTTCACGAACCACATTTTTTTTTTTTTCGCTCAAATATTTTTATTTACATTTTTCACTCTTTTTATAAAATCGTATATTGGCAGGACAATGAAATCTTATTTAAACAAAAAAGAAAATATTTTTTTCTTGTAAAAATTGTTAAATTTTAACATATGTTTTTAAAATGGTATTTTTACATCTAAACCTGTGCCTGGTAGCCATGGTCTTAGACATTCTGAAAATATTTTGTTTGTTTGCTTTTGGTTAAGCTTAAGAGATTCCAGAATCTTCTAAAGCAACCGGGCTTCTTATCAAGCGTAACGAGACGCTCCTCTTCCATAATAGTTTCCAAAATGTAATAACTGCTTAAATTAAAAGGTGGCGGTGGTAGCAGGGGAGGCGGTCATGATATAATGCAGTTCTTGTTTTCGCTACCCATCATAGGATTGCCATTATTACTACCTGACGTGCTACCGTATTTACTGTTAGATGCACTGTTAGCTTCTTCCAAAGCTTGTTTCTTTTTCTTTTCATAGGCAATCGCATCATTGGGCACATAAGATACGCGTACGCCACCGTAATGTTTACGCGTTGGCAAACGATAGACATAATCATCCATACCGCTCGAAGAACTGGACGAACAAGTTGAACAGATGCTGGTCGCATCGCAATTCTCCACATTTTTTATTGTACTTGTACCGGCTTGGGTTTGGGCATTATGCAGCCTTAAATTGGTCTGATTAATTTGCATTTCGGATGAACTGCGCGCCTGATTGCGTTTGCGTCGACGTCGCCGTGCATTCGAATTATCGGTGTAGCTTTTCGAACGCGACATAGTATCGTGGATACTATGGAAACGTACCTCTTTGGTGATATGACGATTACTTTGCTCATCGTCGTCATCGTCTTCCACCTCTTCCCCGTCTTCCTCTGGCTCATCGTCATTGGGTTCTGTTTCTTCATGATCCTCCTTGATACGCTCATAACTGCCGGGAGACAAAGCATTTTCATTATCTGCTTCCAATTCATTGCTGATTTCTTGAGTACTTTCAGTCAATTCAGAATTGCTAGGCGAATTAATATTGATTTTATCTATACTCTGGTAACTGTGCGAATCATCACCTTTCGATATCAGCATGTCGGGTAATGATGTGTTTAGATTCGTTTCACCAAAAATGGACTTATCCGGTGCGCATATGTTATCCAAACTTATACCCAATTCAGTTAAGTCTATTGGTGGTGGATGCGCTGGTCTATGTATACCTGGTACGCCGCCACTTTCCAGATTTTGACTTAATATTAAACAGTCCAATTCCTCTTTTCTTTGCCGTTCTTGTGAGTCCATCAGGTTACCAGCACTGCTGGTATTTTTACCACTTTGACTTCTATTCGGTCGAGGAGATCTGGCTATTTGACTTGTTGTACTAGCGCGATGTGTAGGTCTTAGATGCGGTCCTGAACTAGTATCTGATGGTGTTGGCGGTTCGCCTTTACTGCATGCAATAGAGCAGTAAATAGTACCACGACGTGGAAGAAATGGCCGACCCAATAAGGAACATCTACAAGTGCAACAGGAAAAGCATTGATCAGTGGCATGCCAGTGCTGGCCGTCATGAGACATTTGACCCTGATCAACTCCAATCACATCGCCACAATAGTCACAATACTCAGCAAACATGGTATCGAAACACTTCAGGCAATAAGGTTTACCGTCGCGCATAATGTAACGTTGCCCACCCAATTGTCTCTCACATTCGAAACAAGCAAAGTGTTTCATATGCCACGTCCTACCTTCGGCTTCGGTGCACTCATCAGAAAATATTATCTAAAATTCAAAATTAATTAGTTAAAAAATGCTAAGAAAGATTGAATTGAATATATTAAGCGAAATATATTAAGCGAATAAATTATTATGTAAATCTTTATGAAAAAGCTTCTAATTCTGCAGTTTACAGAAGATATTTTTACAACAGTTGGTGATGGAATTCGGGAACTTTTTGTATATAATTAGTTGTAAAGGCCAAAGTTTTAATGTTCGTTTCGATCTTGCAAACATAAAATATTTAGATCGAGAATAAGAAATCAATCGTTTACTGGCAATGAGAATATAGTTGGAAAGTTGCAACTCTGATAGTTAGAAAATTGCAACGCTGCAAATATAATTTAATTGGAAATGAGAAACGAAAGCCCGTTAGTTCTACAATTTACTAAAATATTCCAAAAACCTTCCATTTGTTTTAAAGTAAAGTTTATAAATATGTCACGAATGGCATTCATTGATTTATTAATGGTTGTCTTTACTGGGACGATGAAAAATGTTTGCCGGGAACTTGACTGACTATATTGCCGTTGAATATAAAAAGGGCAAATGCTTTAACTTGATGACCGTCTTGTATTTTCTATCGAAATCATTTCGGCATGAGTCTTATGTCTTTAATTAAATCTTGCTAAGAGAACATAAAGTGTGAGAAAAGCAATCACAAAATTATTGACGATTGCGTGCTAATATGGGCTGGCGCTCTCACACTTCAACAGCTCGACGAATGAGTTGAGAAAAGGTTTTCTTTTAATATGGGCAGTTGAAAAGAGTTCTTTATGAACCGGGACAGACAGCTTCTATATTTCAACAGGTCCATGCATGAATTAGGAAGCAAAGCTGGCACATTTTTAAATTTTTGATATCCTACCGCATTTGTTGCACGAAGGTATAGTAAGTTTATGCAGATTTATGCAACATCCAGATGAGAAGAGGGAGATAGACCCACCTTTTAGTATAACGATCGATTCAGAAAGCGATTCTGGATAAGCTTGTAATTTGGTACACCGAAATTGTTTGGCCAAAGGCTGAATGCTCTTGAAAACGGTCTGGATCGGAGTAATTTCGCGATCATGTCTCATATAACGGTTTACCTTGAAATCCGTTGTATGAATAGGTGTAGGATGACGTACGTAATGGCAAACAACGTAAGGGCAAAAAGCTGATAATTACCGCTTTCTAGAGCTTTAGATTTAGAGCACAAAATGTAGACTTAAATGCTTTACTAGAATGCCGGCTTGTAGTTGGAGTTTCGCTTGCGGGAAAAAAGCTTACGAAAATAACATTGCATAGGAGGTGTTCACATCCTTTGCGACAACGACCAGAATTTCACAAAAATATCGAAATACAAGCTCAAAAGGATTCGTATTGAGGTCAAATTCTTTGCTACACGGCACTAAAAGAGGTATTTTTTGTTTTGGATATCGAAAAAAGGAAGATGATGAAGTAGTTCGGTCGACAATATCCATCTTTGTTTAAGCCTCTCTATAATTGCATGTATGTTTTTCACATGTGATTTATTATTCATATATTACCTTTTTTTACATTTATTAAAAAGCTTGCAAAAAAAATCTGGCACGAAATAGAATTTGCAAAAAAAATATATGAGGAAATGGTAAAAAGCTAAAGAATTAAAAGAAATTACTAAAGATAATTGAAAAAAGGCCACCGAATTTCACTTCTTGTTCCGCTTTTTATTGCGAATAATGTTGTGCTTTACATTGCTTCAACGCTTCATTAAAGCCCTGGCAGAGAGTTAAATCGGACTGATCCTCAGCACATTGAAGAAACTGTTTAATCTCCCAGGCGCAAGGACCTTGGGGCTCGTAGGGTTTAGCGCTACCGTTAGCATAATATTGTTGATGAGCTGGGGCTGACGACAGAGCTTCAGCTGGTGCTGGTGCTGGTGTTGGGGACGTTGCATCAGCAAGAGGAGCTACAATCCCTTTATTGTCATCAGATCCGCTAAACATATTGGTGAGGCCTTGGCCTACTACGCTACCAACGGCGGAGCCCACAGCAACACCACCGGCTGTGGCGGCCGCCTGTTCAAACATTGATGGCTGCTTTAAGATTCCAGTAGTGGTACCTGGTTTTTGCTGCAAGGCGGCAGTAGCCGGACTTGGTGGCTGTTTGACGGTAGCTAGTGGCGAGGCTGGTGCAGCGCTTGCTGTATATGAGGGTGATGGGGTTCTTCTGGTAGCTGGTCGAGGGCTAGCGGGGTGTCCCCGTCGTACCATTTCGCTTACTTTTTATTTTTATTTATTGCAATTTATTTTAATTTAATTGTTATCTCTTCTGGAATTTTTTATGAAGTCAATTTCAATTTTCAGAAAAATTATTTTCCTTCAATTTCACCTGTGTTCGTTTGTAATTTTCTTTTCAGTCTGTCTAAGTATTGTTTGTACGCTTTATATTTAGGATAGCTTTGACTTGTGAACACACTGTGATCAATATGCTGTTTTTTGTGCATCCTGCCTAAAGTTAACGGTTTCTAGATAATATTTAATAGAAAATTTTTTCTTCTTTAATGCAATTTCTTTAATCGGTATATATTTAAAAAATTACCAATAGATCCCTAAAATACAAACCAATCTTTTTTATATCCTACGCAACTGGTGGTATAAGGCTTTACTAAGCTCGTGCGGCTATGTGCAATACCCAGAAAGACTTGAGATAAAACCAACCGATCTAAGCTCATACCGCCGCCTGGCCATCTTGTTTTCTTATCTTCCACATACAGGTCGTAGCTTGTGTGCCCGTCCGTCCGCTTCCATTTTTTTATGTTCAGTCTACAGATTGAAATTTTTAAGATATTTGCATGAAATTTGGTACACTGATGTGTTTTCATTCAAAGACGAACGCTATTAAAAGTAGTGTCGATCGGACCACTCTCTCTACCACGTATAAAACATTATTTTGAATGATATTTATATATGAATAACTGCGTTGAGCAAACTGCTGTAGGGTATTTAATTGTAGGTTAGTATTTTTACTTGATTACTGCCTTCGGTTTTACGACTGTGACATGTCAGCAAATATGGGGAAACAAAACGAGCCTTTTGGGTAGAAATAGGTAAGTATATGCAAAATGTCGGTAGTTCTAGTGTTAAATAAAACCCTATGATCGAAACTTAAGTGAGTAATTGAACAATTCCTCTGTGATTTTTGACAGAATGAAACCTTGACTTCGTTGATTTTCGAATCTGTTGTTAGTAGAACGATAAAAGAAAAAATTGAAACCCAAATTATGTTTTTTTGGACAAATTTTTGATGACAATGATTATGATGTAACTAGAAGGCCCGAGGGGCGGACAGAGGCAATTTTATTAAGTAAAACCTTATAAACTGATTTAAACTAAAAAAAAAGAATTCATTTTACTGCAATTAAAATGTTTGGTCTAACGCACTGGGAATAGAATTTGCTGCAACTGATGTTTATCTGTTAGACGACGTGTTACACCGAATCCCATATTTAATCACTCAAGTATGATACGGGATAATATGCCAACAAGAGAGAAAATTTATATTCGTCTCGGACCGAGTCTTTTGTATATCTCGCCGCATTATACTGATTAATAACATGTAGACTTTGTAGGATCTCTGAAGCTTCTTTCTGACTGCTGCAGAAGCTTTGGTAAAAGAATGGAATTTTACTATTCTAGTATGTTGAGTAGGTGTGGCCGATCTTTTCTATTTTTACACAGACGCTGCAAGCCCATCCATAGAATATATAAATGCAATTTGCATCGTTGTGCATGTTGTGGTTTTTAAGTAACGAGTCAAAAAATAAATTCTTTTAATTTTGAAGGCAAGTTATGCTGTACTAAGGTGATATCCTCCCATCGATTCAACTTCATTTCAATACCAACGTGCTTGGAAAGACTTAAAACCTTTATGCCTAACAGAATATTTACTACGCACGTTAGAGGGTCAGATGGATGGATTAGCTTAAATCGGTTCAGGATATATGCATTTTATGGCGCTCCGAGGCTTTTTTCGAAGTTCTAGGTTGCAAGCTTTTCGACATCCTTTGATGCTGTTATTCTAAACAGAACTTCCACTCCTGAATGGCCAAAACAACCAACGACAGTCGTAGAGATAAACAAGTATGGCCACATCGTTTCCGCTCTTTACACTAATCAATGTGTATACATTGGCATGGTCTGTAGCTTTATTATTTATTTTTATGCGTTGCCAGCACTCAGCATCCACTTCCCATGATGGTCATAAAGAGAACTAAAAATATTTTTTAAGACTCTATTTAAAGAAAACCTTGTAACGTTAGCGTTGTTATAATTTCTTCATTTTTACTGCTCGATGGTGTTAAGGACAGCAGTGTTAACATTTCCAAGGCATTAGTTTCGCCTCTAGTAATAACTGTGCTAAATGATAACATTCAAATATTTTTTTATCCTCCTACTTTATTACTGTTTACAAACAAAATTAACTAAGGCTTAGCTAAAATAAAAATATAATGGCATTAAAATATTTAAGAAAATAAGAAGCAAACCGAGCAAAAACAAAAAGTTGACTTGGCCTCTACGCACTGATATTTTGTGCTATAAAAAAAAAAAATAAAAATAAAAAAGGAATGTAGTAACTTACCTCATCGCAGGCGGAGCAGCGCGGCTTTTGGGTTTCGGCATGATGACGTCCGCAGTAGAGGTTGCCATTGCGATGAAAGTAGATTAAATCCATCAGTAATTCTTTGCAAACACAACACACAAAGCAGGCAGGATGCCAACAGATCTGAGCGCCAACACGTTGAGCAAACACCACAATGTCACCGGGCGAGAGTTGTTCGTTGCACTGAAATGAATATCAGCAAAGTAAGCAGTTTTATGATAAGCACGATGTTTATTTATTTGTAAATGGCTTTCAATCTTAGCTGGAGCAACAGACATTATTGACATGAAGGAATTTCGTCTACAGATACAGGTATAGCGTGCGTTTTGCTTTTTTTAATTTCTTTTTTTTTTTTGTTTTTTTTTGTTTTTATTTTTTAAATGCATAATGTTTTAAAAGCATATTTTAAAAACATTTTCAAGCAATTAAGCATACTACATTAGCTTTTTTAGTCATCTACATTTTATGTCTGTCTGTCTGTCTGTAAAAATATATTCATATTTATTGCCATAAATGCTCAAAGTTTCATTTCATATGGCTGCAGGATATCATTCGGTTATATGATAATACAAGAGAAAAAAAAGAAAAGAACGAATTCCTGATAATAATAAAAAGGGAACTCTTCATTATCTTAATGAAATCTATGGGCTTCAGATGAAACAAAATAATAAAATAAAAAAAAAAAACAAAAAACGCACGTTTTTCATGCCGTTTCTACTACTAAAACTAAGTATGCCCCTAAGTGAAATTATTTTATTTGGCATAATATTCGTTGGGACCTTAGTTTTGCCATGAAAGTAATCCCAGGAGTACATTTAATACAAAGGCGCTAGCCAGCCTTTTCTCGCATTACTATTCCAAGTTGTAAGTGTTGCTGCTTGCGTTTGACTTTAACTCTTGTTACAATATTTTTTTTTTTCCAAGCATTTATTAAATCATTGTAACTCTGTAAACGTTTTAAACTAAATTCGTAGGTATGAAGGTTGATTTCTCTTTTCCTGTATAAACAGTTTACGAGTTGTTGGTTATAATGGTTTGACTCATTAAGCTTAAGTGCGTGCAATTAAAATTTTGTAAATGACTTTTATGCTCCTTTTTTTTTTTTTTTCTTTCTTGGAATTAATTTAACACAGCGAGAGAAAATATTTAAGGTCTTAATGAGCAGTTTAGGTGAAGACATAATTATGAAAAAATATTTTGTATATTTTTAAATACTCTCCTTGCTACACTTTCGAGAGTTTTCGGTTCACTAAAATTTTAATTTGTGCTCAAGTTTTTTTCTTTCTTTTTTTCAATCTAATGTAAAATCCTATCTACCGAAAAAAACATCTTGAAGGGTGAAGTATTAAACCTTAGATTGATGATCAGCGTTTATTATAATTACTTGGCAATGAAAGGTATTTTAAAAGCTATTGTATGCGTGTGCAAATAAGTTTTGAGAGAATTCTCTTGGTAACATTGAAACTCTAATCAGAGAAACCCTATTCGTTCGCTACGATTTTTCCCTATTTTGCGAAGTCCGGTGCCAACAATAAGCCATCTCTTGAAAGCAATGTTAATCGGTACGAGTAATATCTGCTGACAACAGCGGGGAGGTTAGCACATTCCGGGTTAGAACTACACACATTTTCTGGGCAAGTTTTTCTAAAAAGTCGGGATATTATTGGTTTTGGCTTATTAGGTCATTTCTTAGTCCAATTGCATCATTAGAATATTCCTTAGAAATGGTTTCATTTCGTTGGAACAAACTTTAATACGCCTTGCCCGAGGATAGGATTATTGAATGCGTTTTCATCAGTAGATGACTGTCTGCTCATTATTCATAAACACTACAGCATTTGGATCTATTTCGATTTGAACATATACTCTATGGGCGAACGCTTACCCAATATTACATTGTATCGAAATTCAATTTTTGTTCAAAGTCCTTATAACACTCCCATAAAGTATATAGATTCTTGGCTAACTTCAAATTCTGAATGCAATTTTGCTTGTCCGTTCGTCTACCTGCCCCCTCTGTCCATCTGTGTAATATCTACGGTAAACATTCTTGCGGAGAGCGCTTAAAAATTTTCCAAAACAATTTGAAAATGATCCACACCGGCCAATGTCCGCACGTCTGTGCAACAAGAAAGTGCACACCTTTGCTTTCAGGATTTTTTGCTTTTTACCCATAAACTACAACCCGTACATCGTATAAATTTCTGCACTGAAATTGCAAAAAGTAGACCGTGCTCACCCAATATTATAGACTATGAAAATGTAGTTCTTCTCCTTTTTTTTAGGATAACGATGATAGGTATAAATGATTCGGTCAAGACCAAATACAATTTTCTTACTTGTTTATATGATCAATGTTTCTCATTTTTCAGAGCTATTAAGTTTTCAATTTTTTCTGCTTGCTTTTAAACTCATTTTGAAAATTATTTGCTCGAGATATTCATCTTATATATTGGAGGATTTATCCTTTAAGGTTTGCAATTCCTTCTTAAAGTTTTTTTAACATTTTACTTAAGCTTTCCGGTCATTTAAGCAAAGTCAACAAAAATTTATCTTAATTACTTGCACATAACCAGCCAAGAAATCAAGAAAGACGAAAACATTTTATAATTGTTTCTCTTTGCAAGAGAGTGAAGACGAATGTCGACTAATCAGTGTCGCTTGAACGAGAAAAACTCTGCAACATTACTTACTTACTTAGTAGTGGTCGTAAAAAAAATAAATTTGCGATGGTTTGTGCACTTTTTCTTTCTTCTTCTTTTCCTGAAATAACGTTTAGCCGGCTAGTGCATATGGTATGGTATGCTTAGGTAATATAGCCCAAAGAATTTTGGTTAATAGCTCGGAAAGTTAAGTAAATAAGGGTCATAATTACCAGCAACATTGTTCTTAGCGTATGTGCGTATGATTTGTTGCTCGTTGCCTTACCACAAGCGAATGTATGCCATACTTGGCATTATTGTCGTGTGTCTTTGGCTAAGTGTCTTTGTCTATTCCATCTATCCAGTTGCAATTAAGAAAACCTCCGCTCTTTGCGAAACAAGGCAAACGACAAAGTTGTGAGACAATTATGCTTTGTAATATTCTAATATTTTCTAAAATTACCCAACTTTAGGTCTTCTGTTAGTTCAACTCATATTTGTATAAAAGTAGGTAAAGAGTAGATTGTGTTACTAAAAGCCTGCTAATTAAAGTAAGTTCTAAACCACAGAAACGAGGTTTAAAAAGAGAGCAAAGAATTGGGCAAAAATTGAGACAATGCATCTCTTCGTTCAACATTTAGTATAAGTTTTAATAAGTTACGACTTATCACCGATTCGGGTGTAGGAGGCATCCCCAAAGTGACTGGTCAAGTAAAAAAAAAAAAAGAATAGAAAAAATGGGGTTATTATTAAAAGAAATGCTTTGCAACCTAAGCATTAAAGTATGATTTATGGTCTACCGCACCAGTTAAGTAAAAGCTTACAAAGGCAAGCAAGTAAGAAAATTGTATTCGGTCGTAAAAGAATCTTTGATACTCAGCATTGTTATCCTAAGAAAAACTAACTGAAGAAAGCAAAAGAAATAAATTTTCGTACTCTGTAATAATGGGTGGGGGCGGCTGAGTTTTTCTGTATATAGAATAAATGTGGAAATTTAGATGGTGTTGATGTGTTCCAGTTTATGAGCAAGGAGCAGACAGCACGAAAAGCAAAGTGGTGTCAGTTTTTATCACACAGGCATGTGGGCGTTGTAGAAGGATCCTTTGAAAAGTTTGGGTATTTTTAGGCGATATCTTAATTTTTGCGAACGGGAGGTTGTTTACCACAGATATTGCACAGTTCGGCAGGCGGCCAAATGGGCAATCGAAGAGACGGACGGATGGACAATCAAATTGACGGACGGAAGGACAATTGAACAGACGGACATGCCAAGGTACATTCCGAATTTCTCACTTTGCTTAGTACCAACCTGAGTGCCAGAACTTGCAATACTTCTGCCGAATTTTAAGTCGATAGCTTCATTTTTGTGGCCAAAGGAATGTTGACAATAGACTTTACATAGGCGCACAAACGGACAAGCGGACAATACTTAAATCGATTCAGATTTTGATGCTAATCAACAATATATATATATATATAATGTGGTGTCTCTGAACCCTCCTTCTGGGCGTTGCAAACGTTTTGATAAAATTCACGCATCTCTTAGTCATGGGTATAAAAAATACTATATGAAACTCATGCCCCGGGCTATTGCAATTTATTATCCAGAGTTCTAGCCATTCGATCAAGGGACTGGGCGTTTGTGGCTAAAAGTGTTTATAGTTATACAAGGAGAATTTCAGAGAAGCATATGAAGGCAGAAGTATTCGTATTTGTCGGTGCAGAAAGTTTTTCCCTATGAGAATTAACCTCCGTTCCTTTCTTTAACACACGTCATCGAAATAATTATTGATTTCCATCCTTCTCAATCTACATTTTATTGCACATCCTTTATATGAACATAGCAAGCCTAAATTCATTGAATGCTTTTCAAAGGTCAACACAGTTCATTGCTTGTCCTACGGAAGGAAGATAAATGCTTTTTCAATGAACAACTTTTACTTACGAGGCAGGAGCAACACATTATTGTTTCTAACATGCATTGATGAATTGTCGTCGCTTCTACCGAAATTCATTTCCAATCATTTATATGAACAATCATTTAATGAAACTTCTAATTTTTCTGCAAACCGGTAAATGAGGCGGAAAGAAGTTTTTCTTTTATTTTTGGGAAATTTCTTTTGTATTAGAAATGAATTCTGTACATTTTGTCAAAAGTAAAATGACAAAGAAACGTAAGAGTATTTCACTTTTTACTTCCATTTCTCTAATTCCTTTGCGTTTACAAAGACTCCTCTATGTTCTCATTAATCGAGAATTCTCTTTTAGTTCGCTTTGATTATTCGAGGGACAATTTCTTTTAATGCTCTAATGAAAGTTTAATTCTGCTACACTTACTTTCCATAGTTCATATGTTACGAAACCAAATTGAAATTTATATTAAGTTTGTCAGATCGTACGCCTCCGACATAGAAAATATATAAATATTTTTAAATAACCTTTGTCGCTTGTCTTTTTACACATTTTTTGTTTGTGGAAATCATGCCACGATATATAAAAATTGATGGAAAGATTCCGCTCCTGCGAAAATTGTTATGAAAA